TGCTGCCTTGCAGCAAAATGGTTGCGCATACGATTCCCCGCCCGGGATCTTTCCATGGAGTTTGCATGTTATCCCTGTGCATGTGTAGGTTCTCTCCAGGTACTCCGGCTTCCTCCCACAGTCCAAAAACATGACTGTTAGGTTAATTGGCTTCTCTAAATTCTCCTTAGGTGTGAGTGAATTGTTGTTTGACCTGTTTGTCTCCGTGTTACCCTGCGATGGACTGGCGACCTCTCCAGGGTGTACCCCGCCTCTTGCATGTAGACAGCTGGAGATAGGCACCAGCACCCCTCGCGAACCCGCTCGGGATAAAGCGTGTCAGAAAAAGGATATATGGATGGATGGATGAAGATATATATATATATATGCATACACAGTGGGGCAAAAAAGTATTTAGTCAGCCACCAATAATTTTCCACCATATTTTGAAAATAAATTCTTTAAAAATCAGACAATGTGATTTTCTGGATTTTTTTTTCTCATTTTGTCTCTCAAAGTTGAGGTATATCTATGATGAAAACTACCGGCCTCTCTCATCTTTTTAAGTGGGAGAACTTGCACTATTGGTGGCTGACTAAATACTTTTTTGCACCACTGTATATGAAGAGGAAGGGAAGAACAATAAAAGGAAGAAGGAAAAAGAAAACAAGATAGCACTAAAAGTCTGCTTCTGAGCCTGCAGAAAGAACCAAAAAATAGCACAGTGACAATCAATAATGTAACTAGATGGTCACAGTACTAATTGATAAATGTTTAGTGGCTACAGCAGCTCATTATACAGTAGATTCATGTATCTATCTAACTTTACGAGCTTGAATCTAAATCCCTATGGGGGTATGTGTTATCATCGATCCGAAAGCGCAGTGAGTTAACACCTGCGCTCGAAACCAGTCTGGCATGTGCTCAACTCTGGAAAAACTCTTCTCAACCCACTTTCCTCACACTCAGTTTCCTCTCTGCGCGCACTCTACCTGCTCTTTCCGCACTTCATAGCTGTGCGCTTGGCAGTTTCTGCACTCGCGACTTCATAAATGTATGTAAATGAACCTTACCACCAGCCAATCATGCTCAGCTTTTTTTCATCCAATCAAAGTATTCATTCCAAATACTACATCCGGTTGGATGAAAAACTGACTGGCTAGCTAAAGTGGTAAGTCACCCGTCCTGTGCACAGAAAGCCCGGGTTTGTTTCCCTGCAGGGGGGGAGTGAGCTGCCAGTGTGGGTCCTTAGGCAAGACCCTTTACGCTAATGTCGCTTTGTAAGTCGCTTTGAATAAAAGCGTCTGTTAAGTAGTTAAACACTAAACAGTAAAAAAAAAAAAACACAGTCATGAAATCAAACAACTCTTGCAGTTATGCATTCAGCACTCCTAACCAGTTGATGGACAATAGATAGTACTATGAATATCTTAATTTATCTCAAATAAATGTTAGTAAAACTGTTATTAGATCAGTAACTCATCCTTCCTTGCTACCTGCTATTGATATGGATTCAACTTTGCTGTTTAAACGGAAAAACAAGGAGGATATTTCAGATTCAGGAAGCATGGTTCAACGATATTTAGATAAAAAATATTATGGATATGTTAACATTTTTACTGATGCTTCACAATATTCAAATATTAGGAATGTTGTTTTGTTTGTATTTCCAGAATTAAATTTTAAACCAGTTAAAAAACTCAGTGATGGAGTTTCTCTTTACACAGGAGAAAAGTTTGGGATCATATTGGCCTTAGAATGGAATGAAGATATCTGTCCATTAAGAAGTTTACTTTGCTCTGATTCTAGTTCAGCCCTGGACCCAACCTGACAGACAAACAGAAATACACATTCACAATAACATGTTCCTATCCCTATGTTCCACCTTCCCTTTATTCACTTTGATCCAACTTTAGCTGTTTCACAAAGATTGGACAAACATTTTAGTTTCTGTGTGTGGAAAACTGATAAAGAGATTGTCCAATAGTCTTAAGGCTGTAATTCATCTGGCTCTGCACATTATTGAATCAGATGACTAGAATCCAATTTCAAGCCACAGTTGCAAACTTTTTGGCTGTGAAAAAAACAAAACAAAAATAAACAGTATGATTTTCCTACTCATTTCTATGTATTATGTTGTGTTTTCCTAAAAAAATCCCTGTAACATTTTTTTAAAGGTACGGTACAGGCTTCAGTTGTGACAAATTTGTTCCCTTCATTAAACACCCTGAGGGACAAGTTTTGACTCTCCCTTATAATGAAACACCAGTTATTACAGGAGTCACATTTGTTTTCGCAACTCCAGTAAAGAGACATACAGGTTAAGGAATGTTTTACATGCTGGAACAAAAGGATGTGGGTTTCTCTAGGAGAGGGGGCACCCCTGCATGCAG